TATATAATATGTTCTAAGTGGAAGGGAGTAGCGGTTGGACTAGAAGGTAAAGGTTCTTAGTGCATACCTCAGTAAAATTTACAACTTGGGAAATTCTCTTCTTATGCTGAAAACATTTCCTTTCTTGCTCCCCACTAGACAACTGTATACAACACAAAAAATGTTTGTGTCTTCTTATTATATCAGGCATTATTGAACTATAAAAAATTCTCATCTCACACATTTTAGTAGACTATGAAAGAAAAATTACTTACACTTGTTCAGGCTGTCACATTCCCAGCAACTGAAGTTAAGGAATCACCCTTGCACTGGCAAATAGCCAAAACCAGATGATATGAAGATTATAAATAGTGTTAGGGACCATGCTGCCAAATATACATATATACACTTATAAGTTTTTAATGAAATCCTAACCAGCTTTCTTTTTTTTTCATCTGAGTGCCTATTTTAACAATGTAAATAGAAATTGAAGCCTTAGAAGTATGAATCATGCCTACTCCTTATTGATTTTATGTACACACTAGACAGAATGAGCCTGGTGTCTGAGAAATAACCGAAACTGGAATCATATTATTATGGGGACTGAGTAAAAAGGGTTGAGAAGAAACTGTTTAGTTCTAGTGTGTGCTTTCTGCCCAGTAGGGTTCCAGGTACTCTTAGGATCATAGAATCACAGAATGGATTGGATTGGAAAGGACATTAAAGCTCATATAAATCCAACCCCCTGCCATGGGCAGGGACACTTTCCACTAGACCAGGTTGATCCAAGCTGCGTCCAACCTGGCCTTGAACATTTTCAGGGATGGGGCATCCAGCAGCTTCTCTGGGCAGCCTGTGCCAGTGGCTCAACACCCTCACAGTAAAGAATTTTTTCCCAATATCTAATCTAAATTTACCCTGCTTCAGCTTAAAACCATTGCACCTTATTCTATCCTTACATACCCTTGTAAAAAGTTCCTGTTCAGCTTTCTTGTAGGTCTCCTTTAGGTTTAGGAAGGCTACTCTAAGGTATCCTCTGAGTGTTCTCTTCTCCAGGCTGAACACCACGAACTCTCTCAGCCTGTCTTCACAGGAGGGGTGCTCTGGCCCTCTGATCTGAAGGTGTCCACTTTTATCTCCTTTTTATTGTTAGTATTTCTTTTGAAACCACGAATGAGCAGTTACTTAGTGTCATAAACTCCATTGCTCCTTTGCTGTAGGATCCTGCATTCACAAGAGTGGTAATTTTCTTCTTGAAACTGTCATCTAGTCTAGTCATGTACTATAGTGAGTGAAATAAAATGTTACAAATGCTAATAGCCAATATACCACACAAGTCATCCAGCTAAGAAACTGTTTAAAATACATCTTATTGCGTACTCAATATATATAAAACATGTTTATAACTGAATATGCATTTTTAATTTAAATGTTGGCAACCTCAAAATATCTATATTAAATTAGCTAGAAGAATATAAATGTCGATGGAGATTTATGCAGGGGATGTTTCCATATTAAAGGAAACATTTCTTTTGTCAAGAGGCTGTTTGCATTCATGAGAACTGAAAATTAAGGAGGAATAAGTTTTGTTTCTGCGCAGACTTGCCAACTAATGTTGGTTTAGCTCTCTCAAATTGTAGGATGTGTAAGTATTTAAAATATTGAATCAGACAAATTTTGAGATGTTAGTCTTGTATTCATCCTTGCATATAGCTTCATACTTCTCTGTCATACCCTGATGTCGTGTAGAATTCCTGGTGTCTCCAATGCTGAATTTTAAGTTTTATCTAAGTAAGGATAGCAAAATCCATTTATCTTCAGAAAGGGAGATTTTTCAATAAGCACTTACTAGCAAATAGCAGGTTTGGGTTGGTTTTGTTTTCTTCTTGAGCAGGTAAAGGATGGAGGAACTTAAGGAGAGCAAATTACTTTTAGAGGTGCCCTTTAGAATACTATTGGCCACTGAGCAGGCTGCCTTACTTGATGCTTAAGGAGGTTAAAATTATGATAAGTAGGTGCTTTGTTGTTTTCAATATTTTTACAGTGAAACTTGTGGAGCCACTGAAATTCATTTACAATAGTTTTTTTTCCTTAAAGAATGCATATTGTTGGATCTCATGGCTTTAACAAAAATTACAGGGGAACTGAATACTTAACAAAAGCTTCCTTTGTACAAGTTGATAAATTGACACTGTGTTTGGGTATGGTTGTATTTTCTTTTCCAAAACAATTATAACAGATTCTTTGATTCCTTTCTGTTTTAAAAACACCTTTCTCTCATTGCACTGTTCCTAGGTTGTGCAGGTTCTTTCTGATTAAGCAACACGCACAAAAATCTTTGCTGATTTCTCTTTTTTTTTTCAAACGAGATTTTCTTACCTAAAAAACAAAAGGCCACACTTTTTTCTTACCTCCTGTAGTACAGTGAAGTTAAGGAGAGGAAATATAAAAATCAGATGTCATTGTAATGAAGGCCACAAAATCTAGCTGCACAGTCTGAATTCTTCAAGGGGCAGAGGCCCTTTAGAACAGTTCCCTGTGAGAAGCACACAAAGCTGATTGCAATGTTTTCAAGTTCAGAACATATCTGCACAAAATAAAAGTAGTAAAAAAAAAAAAGGTGTTCAACAAACCAGGAAGATAGAACATGTGGAAACTAGGTAGAGGTATACAGGGCAGTATTGCTGCTTCCTGCTGTGGACGTTTTGATTGAAGCATGCTGTTGTAGTGGAATGAGACTCTATATTCTCCTTTAAATATTTGCAATAATTCTGATTTTTAATAAATAATATTACTAATCCATACTCCTCCTCATTGCTTTATGATTAACACTTGTGCTGCACATCATGGCTGCTCTTAACACTTACAAGGCCCTGATATATAGCTAAATATTTCTGACTCCATCTGGTACAAAGAGAAGTGACACAGAAGGGCTCCCCAGCCAGTTTATTGCAATTTAATGTAAATCTGTTATAATGCAGATGAAGTGCGGTGGCTTCCATGAATTCTGAAAGCTGTGATTGGCTTGTGGCTGCTGTGATGCCCTCTGAAGATTTGCTGGGTTTAATTTTACATTGCACAGCCATTAGCTGACTAAAATTTCTCACTGAATCATGTTGCCACAGTACTATTCTTCATCATCCTCTTCCATTTCTCTTCAGAGTGACCTCATTCACCCAAGTTTTCCATCTCAGTCTTTCACTGTTTCTATCTTATAAATTGCAGGCTCCTAATACATCAAAGCAGATAAAGCCATTCAGTTGACCCCTTAATGTACCATTTGCTTAACTGTTGTGTGTGGGAATAAAGTAACATTCCCAGTGATTCTCACAGTTTCTGTGTTCAGAGTCTGAACCAAAGCATGGCAGCAGCGCCCTTAGGCCTTGGGCATGGGCGCATAGCCCTTGTGCACGCGAGTTCAGTAAAACTTTGTCTACATCTTTCTCAATCTGTTTGCTGGATAAATATCGTTTTTTTTTTGTTCAACATGTTGAATTCTAGTTTCTGCAGACTGTCAAATGAACCTCCAGGCAACGAACAGATTCATCTTATGTGGTTGCAATCAGAGCTCGCCTTTCACCTGTTCATCATCATTGTAGCTCAGTGATTTTATTGCTCTTAAATGTACATTCTGCAGATTCCTGTTGGTTGGTGCTATTTATAGACAGGAATTGGGGTGATCAGGTTCTGTCATCCTGCATTAAGTGTTACTATGTAGGTATGTAGGCCTTTAGGACAATAATTCCCCCTCCCCTCTCTTTTCTGTATATTGTACTGTTTAGAGGGATAGAATTACATTCAGTAAGGTGATTAAACTGTGGCAAGTTATGTAAATCTAGAATGTAATTGAAGTACAGTAAAAACACCTGTAAATGATCACTGTTCCATTCCCTCAGGGAGAATTTAAAAATAGCCTTTATCATAAAGTATCATACTTAGAATCCTTACATATGCAAACTAACATGTTTTGTCCTTGAGTAATTTTTCTGGAAGTAATTTACTACAGTTATTTAGAAAATATCTAAAAACAAGAGGGACATCATATTTCTTGAAGTTTTCCTCCTGCAGACTGGGGAATTACCCTGGGAAAAAGTTGGTATTTTACTGTGGTTATATTCACCAGTGCAATCAATTGGATTGGTTAGAGGTGGAAAACAAAGGCTAATCACACCCAGGCTTCAGAACTGTTGCATTATTAACAGTGGAGGTTAACTTGTCCAAGATAGTAGTACTTCAGTTTGTAAGTTCATGAACCTGGAATAAGGCAGAATGTTGTACTGGTTTCACCAAGCATTTATCCTACAATATGAAAGGTTATAGCATGCGTTCTGTTGCACAGGAGTTCCGTTGCACAATAAATACAATCTGTAGTGATCTTCTTCACATTAAACTTTGTGTGGTGTGGCTGCAGATGGCATTTTCCCACCGTGTATTTGTCCTGTGTCTAGAGCACTGATGATTTGGAATGGAGACTTTGGTGTGGACGTTTACATAAAATCTTCATTCCAAATACAAATAAAATGTAAAACCGATAGATGGTTATTGAAACTTAAAAAAAAAAAGGCTTATTTTTTCTTTTAATCAAAATGGATTTATTTCCAACCAGTTCTAAAAGAAACTCTAAAAACCTCTGAAATGCAAATTGAAATGATCTAGTCACCTGTTGCTTTGGTGACTTTGGTGTGGACGTTTACATAAAATCTTCATTCCAAATACAAATAAAATGTAAAACCGATAGATGGTTATTGAAACTTAAAAAAAAAAGGCTTATTTTTTCTTTTAATCAAAATGGATTTATTTCCAACCAGTTCTAAAAGAAACTCTAAAAACCTCTGAAATGCAAATTGAAATGATCTAGTCACCTGTTGCTTTGTGCTCCTGCTGTAAGGTAGCTGCCATGGACATAATTTCACATAAAGCTTTCTAAAGTGTTTTTCCTTCATCCTACAATAGAAAGTATGTATTTTTTATTAAAACCAATCCTTAATTTGAATAATTTTTTTTTCTTCTTTTTATTACAGCGAAAGTCCATTTTTGCTGTGAGTTTCATTGCCGCATTCCTCTGTCTGATCATTGTTCGTCTCACAAATGAAGTAACTTTCCCTTTGATCCTGAACTGCTTCGGACAAACCAGTGTCAAATGGATACCATTTTCTAATGGCCAAAGGCAGCCTCTGAGAACTCATTACGGATATATAAATGTGAAAACACAAGAGGTAAGCCTTGGTATCAAGAGCACAGTAAAATGGATGAGAAGATTTCTCTTTCTCTGATCTCCTGTATTGGCTTTTCTACCACCCTGCTAGTGTAAGAAGTTAAAGCAAGCAATGTTTCTGAGCAAAGTGTCTTTTTTAAAGTGTGCTACCATTGAATATTTAAAATATCCTCCATGTCTGCAGTGGAGAGAACAGTGAGCTAGACTCAAAATCATGCTTGTTTGCAGCGAAAACTGGTATTTATACAAGCAAGAGAATTTTTTATATTGATTTCAAGCCTTCAGTCCCTTTAACTCAAAAGGAGATTTTCCTCTCTGTGTTTGTAATAAAGTTCTAAAAATGTTTAATTTTGTGTGGGAGACCCAAGAACAAAGTAGTTTATTTGTGTTTATATGTACATGGAAGAGGAAAAGTGAATGATTTGTGAAATGCATGTATGTGAGTGTAGAAAATTTGTAAAGCTAGACATTTAGTGGATTTTCCTGAAACTGTTACATTAACACTTGGTGGCTATTCAAAAGTCAGATATGTATTTCCAGTCTGTATTTTACAAAGTTTTGTCCTGTATCTGATTTGCAAAATACTTGCTTGTGTGATAAAATTAGATTTTACAGAGACTTCTGCTTTAAGCTGTCTTAGTTAGCAGAATACCTAACGATGGCGCATTTTGGTGATCGTAGCACTTTTGCCCTAGACTCTTCCTATCTCTTTCTGCATGCTCATTATAACAGGTGCAAAATAAGGTAACAAAAATCAAGTCTTTCTAAAAGTTGTTTCTTATAGCACTGTCGGTCATGAGAAATACCATCAGATTCCCACTTTCTGCTACTTATTTTTTGTTATAAAATTGTTATTATTATATTCATGAATAAAATTCATTCACATAACAGCTTTCTTAGAGAACGACAATAGTTTACTTCAGGATATTCAGTCCTAAAAGTGTATTGGACAGGTTAGTTGTTTTTTTACCTTTAGAGTGTTAAATACAAAAATCAGAATGAGAGAGAATATAATTTTTAGGAGGCAGCTTCTTTTAATCCTCTGTAGCTTTTGATTGTTGTCCATGTAAGTTGCAGCATTGAGCATATCAGGGAGCAAAGTACAATATCTGCAGAGCAGAAAACATACAAGAACTTAAAAGTAAATCTCTTTGAGTCAGGGTGTGAATCCTAGTCCTAGTGAAATGAATGGGAGCTTCTGCTGAGTTCAGAAGTACTAAGTCTTCTGCCAGCATACCTTAAGCAGAAAAGGACCAGCAACACACTAAAAATGAGAGGGCATTGTGTTCTGTGTGTCCCTGTGTTATTGCCACAGAGGCAGGCATGGAATCTGAATGAGGTAGAGCTGCCATGGTCACTTGATCACTATCAGTCTGAACTGATAAGTGGAGAGGAGAGGAGCATGCTAATACATTTTTATTCACCATTGCCTCCATGAGAGGTTAGATTTAGCTTGTAGGAGCCTTAATTCATTCTTAAATTTGATAACACACTTGGAAGTTCTAACAGTAAATGGAAATGAATGTCCTGAATGTCGGTGACCAGTATTGATCAGTAAGACATTTGTCTTAATTTAGCTTAGGTCATGAAGGACTCCTTACACTTAGTAATTTTAATTGTTTTCCCCCTTGTATTTGCAGATTACATTCATATTTGCTAATTAAAATGGTAATGAAGAAACTGAACATGCCTTGCTAATTGTGAATGCACTATCTTTTGACTTAATTATTCCCTGAGTGAGGGAAGTTTCATTGTGCAGCCCATGTGAAAAGCTTTTACACCGCTCATGTTCTTAACTCACACTCATAGCTTTCTCAGACTACAATTTTTGTAACACAGATTACTTTAAAAAATAAGCTTTTTTGTACTATTTTTAATAAAAAGACCAGCAATTCTCAAATTGAGATTTGAGAATAAAACCATAGAGATTAAAACCACAGATGTCTCATTTCTGTGTAAATGCGAAATACATTGATTTTCTGTTCATTTCACAGAAGTAAGATATTCTTTTCAATTTTTTTATGCAGCTATGGTATGTAAGATAACCTCATTTAGTCCATGATGTGGGACTCCATCTTTTGTAACAGTTTTTCAGGGCTGGAGAGACAGTGTGTAGTGTGGAGCTGTTACCTGCTGATGCCACCTCTGAACTTGTCTGGTCACTGCTGAGTTCATCTGCTTTCATCAAAGTTCATTCTTTGTTGGGGTGATGATCAGAGGGAAGTTGGCTTCAGTCAGTGGTGATATGAGGACAGTACTGGGAGACTCCTGCTGCTGCTGCTGGCTTTTCCCATGACTTTATTCTCTGCTGATGATCATGAGAACACATACTGTCTTTTCAAACTCCGGAGAGGTGGAGATGGGTATTTAGCTGCTGTAGAGTGTTACATAGCAGTCAACAGAATATAATTGAGTTCATTGGCTGTTTTCTCCCAAAATGAAATCCCCTGGAGGTACACACCAGACTTCACCATCTTCCAAAATTACCCACCATGTACACACAGGTCCCCGAGCAAATGCAATACCACAAGTGGGTTTGCTTTTACCTGAAGCAGGAATAAGCCAGACTGTCTTCCCCAGCAGATTCTTTATGTGCACCATAGGAACTTTATCACCCTCTACAGTTGTAAAAGTTCTGGCAGATCCCCTAGTGTTGACCAACCAGGTGGCTTTTGGTAAATGTGTATCTCAGTGTTTAAAAGTCCCACAACCCATTGCTCTGAGTGTAGCTTTTAGCAGGCTGTTGTACCGTTTGATTTTCCCAGAGGCTGGTGCATGATAGGTGATGTGATATATCCACTCAACGCCATGTTCTTTGGCTCAATGGCTATAAGGTTGCTCTGTAAATGAGCCTCGTTGCCTGACTCAGTTCTTTCTGGGATGCCATGTAGCCATAAGACTTATGGCTACATAAGGCCTAGGACAGTGTTCAGGGTAGTGACGTGGGGCACAGTGTATGTTTCCAGCATTCCAGTGATTAATGTAAACCCCATAGGTTGAGATAAAAACAGTCCAATAACTAAAGTATAATATAAAACTTAGTACTGGTACTACTAATGATAAGGGATATAAAAATGGGAGAGAATATAAAACGAAAAGAGGAAAGGAAAAAACTCAATAAACACAAGTGGTGCACAATACAATTACTCACCAACTTCTGACCGATACCCACCCTGACCAGAGCAGAGATCTGCACCTTCTGGGTAACTCCCCCCAGTTTATATAATAGACATGACATGCTGTGGTATGGAATACCCCTTTGGCTAGTTTGGGTCAGGTGTCCTGTCTCTGCTTCCTCCTGGTTTCTTGTGCCCCCTTCTCACTGGCATAGCATGAGACTGAAAAGTCTTTGATCAGCGTAAGCACAACTTAGCAACAACTAAACACATCGGTGTGTTATCAGCATTGTTCTCAGATGAAAGAAACCCAAAACACAGCCTACACCTGCTACTAGGAAGGAGAAATAAAATAACTCTTTCAGTGAAACCAGGACATAAACAGAAGATCCAGTAAAGCTAATGTCCTAAACAAACATGGCAAGATTTTTTGCAAAATGGGGCACATGCCATCTCAGCAAGGACCAAAAGCTGAGGTAATTATACCATAATGAATTATAAAAAAGTTATGTGATGGAAGGGAAGATAGGAGAGAAGGCTTTTAAAGGCATGAAGTACTTAGGGGTATTGGTTGATAAGAAACTGAACATGAGCAGGCAGTGCGCGCTTGCAGCCCAGAAAGCCAACCGTATCCTGGGCTGCATCAAAAGGAGCGTGACCAGCAGGTCAAAGGAAGTGATCCTGCCCCTCTACTCTGCTCTCGTGAGACCTCACCTGGAGTATTGTGTGCAGTTCTGGTGTCCTCAACATAAGAAGGACATGGAACTGTTGGAACAAGTCCAGAGAAGGGCCACGAGGATGATCAGGGGACTGGAGCACCTCCCGTATGAAGACAGGCTGAGAAAGTTGGGGCTGTTGAGCCTGGAGAAGAGAAGGCTGCGTGGAGACCTCATAGCAGCCTTCCAGTATCTGAAGGGGGCCTATAGCGATGCTGGGGAGGGACTCTTCAATAGGGACTGTATTGACAGGACAAGGGGTAACGGGTTAAAACTTAAACAGGGGAAGTTTAGATTGGATATAAGGAGGAAATTCTTTACACTAAGGGTGGTGACCACTGGAATGGGTTGCCCAGGGAGGTTGTGAATGCTCCACACCTGGCAGTGTTGAAGGCCAGGTTGGACAGAGCCTTGGGTGACATGGGTTTAGAGTGAGGTGTCCCTGCCCATGGCAGGGGGGTTGGAACTTGCTGATCTTAAGGTCCTTTCCAATTTTAACTATTCTATGATTCTATGAATTTTGGCTTTCTGATTTCTCTTTTGGTGACAGAATCTTTGCACACCTATTGAATGTGTTCATAGTCTTCTAAGAGTGTCTTTTGAAGCCTGTCATACTGCTGGGTCATTGATAACACTCCCTCCTGTTTGTCAGCCACTTCCAATATCCTCCTCCTTCTTTTCTTCACACTTATTCTCTGTCTTCCTCTACCTGTTCTTCTTGGGATTCACTCTGAAGCATGGCTGCATACAGCATGCCAAGGCTCTTGAATCCCAGCTTCTCAGTGTACTTAAAAAGTACACATACAAGGTCAACAACAGAGTAATTAGAGTAATTTACCACCAACCCAGTCAGTCATCTGACATAACAGGGAAGCTAGAAAATATAGATGAACTACTATTCTATCTTTTCTGTCTCTCACTTGCAAATGTATTTCCTGTGGAAAAAACAAAACAACCCTAAGGCTTTAATCCATATAAAAGAAGTTGAAGTTAAGAGGAGCTGATTTCTTTTGGGGTAAGGCTGAGTAGGATGAAACTTGAAAACCTTATGAGATGATGGAAAAGCAATTACTTAGTGGTTAAAGGTGAAATGATCAATGATTTGCATTAAAGAAGATCAGGATATATGGTCATGTGAACATCTGTGTTTATCTCAAGAAAAAAACCCA